TAAAGAGCCTGTAAACCACATTAACAACTTTCTGTTTTATCCTGAAAGGAATAGGAATCTCATTACAGTCTTTGATTATTTGTTTCTCTAAGAATGAAATAAAATCGTTGTATCTGTATCTGGAAGATCCAATTCTGACTACTCTGATTTAAATGGATGAGAATGAAGGACACTGTGGTTATTGTGACATACATTAGGAAACCATTAGAGTGGTGGTAGTGGAGATGCAGAGAATGAAACACCTCGTGAGAATTATTTAGGAACAAACGGGCACAGAATTATGGCAACTGCTTAGATATAGGGAAGTGAAGAGAAGCCAAGAAAGACACCCAAGTTCTGAGCTAGCCAGCTAGATTTTGTTCTGGGGAGAAGAGAGGATCATGGGTTAAAATTAGAATTGAATTTGAGGCTCTTTTAAGATCCAAATAGATTTGTCTGGCAGGCACATGAAAATATTAGTGTAGAACTCAGAGACAGGATATGTTCAGAAGCTCTAAATTAGTGATGTTCAATATAAAATTGCTGAGCTACTGGCATAAATATGACAACAGTACCTAAAGGCAAAGATGAGATTCTAGGGAGAAAGGTTAAATTCAGAAGAGAGGAAGGTCTGGAACTGACATTAAAGTATACCAATATGCAAAGACCAGAACTGAAAATTTTTATTTTCTAGAAGGTAGCGTTATTCATGGATCTATGTTTATCCCAGATTCCTCCCAGTCATTACTAAATCCCAGCTGATTTCAAAACATAGAAATTTAAAGGATTTGACCAAGGTCAAATTTTCCTCAGTAAATTTTCCTTCTGCATCTTTAATTAGATTGTATTTCTTTGTCCATTAAAGTGTGTTTTGCAACGTAATTTATGGTTGCTGCTTATTTTGCTTCTAGGCCCTGTTTTGTTTCAAGAGTCTATGATTCCTGAACCAAGAGCTATCTGATAACCTGCTTCTCACAGATTATAGTCGCAGCCCATAGACCTGGAACATAGATACTGTGCTATTAGCCATGCAAGAGAATCTATCTATAAAGCATTGAATCATGAGATTCTGTAACTGTCCCAGGTACAAAATGTCGTAAGACTGGTGGGTTGCCTAACTGACTACTTCACAGGGAAGAAACAAACTAGAATTTCTTCTTCCAATTACACAGCACAATGAATAGAGACAAGATGATAGCACTTGTAGTTCATGTTTGCTAAACTTATTAAAAGTACAGAGGCTCACAGAATCGCCGACACTTGCTCATGGAGGCCTAATGGTGCAAAGAGTGCTAAGGCTCTAAGATTCACTGTGTTTAAACAATTGTCCCAGACCTCCTATGCAGCTTCACAGAGTACCAATGTTGGTATTTTGCACATTGAACCTAAACACATTTGATGTTTTGGCCTCTCAAATTACTTACATTACATAATGGTTATTTATTGGATGATAATGCCAAATAAGTGGCTGAGCAACATAAGGATAGATTCCGTCTCATTTTGGTTTTTATCTTTTACAGAACCTAGGAAAATCCTGGCACATAGTAAGCATACAAAACATACTTGAAGAAGTATTGATTATGAACCAAATGGACAAATACAGTGAATGAACAAATGATCAAATTGTGGCTCTGGTGTAAGCAGATATAGCCAAACTGGTCTGTATGTCCTGTCTTCTCCAAACATATTTCCTCAACGGCTGAGAGAAATTTCTAGAGGAAACCTGGCCTATCACCCTCAGTGAAGGGTAAAAAGGATGAATTTCGGTTTATAGGTATGGGAGCTGGGGGGACCTCAAATTGCTCATCAGACAGAAGGAAGAAAGGAAGCTTAGAATTGACCTGATGAGATATGTTGGTGAGGGACTGAGTTAGGACTGGAACTAGTTAGTATTCAGTCTCCACCTTGACCAGTAGAGGTCTTTACCTCGTAACCTGAATTCATCTTTCCTTCAATGGCTGCCTGTGTCCAAACATACAAACCTTCTGTGAAAGTCAGGGGGGTATCTTTTCTCCTTCATAACGTTAACATACCAAAAAGAAGAAAAGGAACCCTCCTATACTACTATATATTTGATTTTTTTATTTCATCATATTAT